GACATCCTTCCGATAATACGAATGGCTTTGGAGTAGCCCAAACTCTATCACTTCTTCATGGTGCAAAGCCACAAGCGGCAGACGACAGCGGGATAGCTACTGTAGGTTCTGATGCGACACCTACAGAAGGAATCCATGATCAGACGAAAGATGGTGTATCTGTGCAAAGACCCACGAAAAAGAAGAGAGTTGACGGCGAAAAGACGAAATATCCTGTGCTTACATATGTGGAAGGTCGACTGCAATCCTCCATCCGCATCGCGGATCTCCAAAGTCTATTGCTTTACTGCTTCGCGGATGGCATCGCACCTCAGTGGATCTCCATCAAGCATTCAGGTCATATTAGAAAAATTGTCGTGTTGATGGTTCCCGGTTTGGAAATAGGGATGTTTGACGGAACACTCCCATTGGAACCTCAACCTGAAGATCAGGATGCTCGATCGACTCAAGCTCCCGACGCAGAGCAGAAAGACTCCGCTGGTGACAAGACGGCCGAAGAGGATGAGGACAAGGCCAACTTCCTTCGGTGGAAACAAGGCCTTCCGCTGGAAGATCGATCGCGCCGATTCAACCCCCGTCCTTTAACACGAGACAATCTTCCGGAACCATTACGACCACTAGCGGAAATGTTTCCACACATCTGGCCCGTCAGGGCCCCTGGGGACTCAAAGTACAACAAGGTTCATTCTCCTCTCCAAGCCATCCTACTCTCTTCTCTGCCAAAGAACAAAGACAGTGGGGGCAAGGGCCCCAAACCGCCTAAAGTGGACAAAAGCTACGTCCCTAAGCGTACACCTATCACAGCATTCATTAGCAGTGCTGATGATCTGCGTGAAAACGATTATGTCCTTCATCCGGCCCTCTTGCCAACTGAAAAGGAGAAGTTGGCGTTGGCGGAAAATCGCAAGAGAGCTGGCCAGTCCACCGAGGATGGCTGGGTCGATACACATGTCCCGAGCTTGGAAGCGGGACAAGTTCCTGAGCATGAGATTCAACAGGGCAGTGTAACAGCCGGTCGCGATATACTAGCACTGGATTGTGAGATGTGCATCACGGAAGGTGGTAAATCAGAACTTACACGTATCAGCTTGGTACGGTGGGACGGCGAAGTGGTGTTGGATGAGCTTGTGAAGCCACAGTTGCCCATCATCGACTACCTGACCCGCTTTTCCGGAATCACGAAAGAGAAATTGGATTCTGTCACTACCACTCTCGCCGACATTCAGCAAAAGCTACTTACTATTCTCACTCCGCGCACGGTGCTGGTGGGCCACTCGCTCAATTCCGACCTGAACGCTCTCAAGCTTACGCACCCCTTCATCGCTGACACCGCGATCGTCTATCCGCACCCTCGCGGACCACCACTCAAATGCAGCTTGAAATGGCTCACTCAGAAATATCTCGGGAAGGAAATCCAAAAGGGCCAAACTGGCCATGACTCCGTGGAGGACGCCCGTGCCGTGCTGGAGCTGGTGAAGCAAAAATGCGAAAAGGGCGAGCGATGGGGCACAAGCGATGCCTCGAACGAAAGCATCTTCCGGCGCCTTGGCCGTTCCCCGCGTCCAGGGAAAGCAACCACCTCTGGCGAAGGCCGTACAGGAGCCGTCGTGGACTGGGGCAACCCCGAGCGCGGATTCGGGTCGCAGGCGACCGTCGCGATCGGGTGCCAGAATGATGACGAAGTTGTCCAAGGCGTCTCCGCCGTCGTGAAAGGCGATCCCAGCAACCCATCTATTCCAGGAGGCGGAGTGGATTTCACCTGGGCCCGAATGCGAGAACTCGAGGTTCTCCGCGGGTGGTGCAATCGTCTACCCGATCCGAACAACGCCAACGAGTCTACGACGTTGGACCCTCCTCCCGAAGAAACCACCCCGACGGGTTCGGGTACAGTCGAGCCTACTGCCGCTGCTCGGGGTGCCCTGGCAGATACCGTAGCCCGCACAGTCGCTAACATCCAACGCATCTACGACTCCCTTCCACCTTGTACCCTGTTCATGGTATATTCGGGCACCGGGGACCCACGAGAAGTCAGCCGGTTACAGGCCATGCACAAAACTTTCCGGGAGGAGTTCAACTCGCGCAAACCGTGGGATGAGTTGACTGTTAAATGGACGGATGCGGAGGAACAGGCGTTGAAGAAGGCCTGTGAAAGGGCCAGGGAGGGCTGTGGGTTTATGTGTGTCAAATAGAGAATTCTCTCCTCGGGCTTGTCTGTGTCTTGCATATATGGCCTTCCTTGTTGGGTAGATGTCGGTTATCGTTGGTTTATTGAATGATGGGAGTCAGGATACCCAGACATTTTATTGAGGTTGATGAAGATAGATGAAGTACATGACATGAACATTTCTGCATTTGCCAACACTTGCAATGATATGTATAGTAAAGGCCTGCTTATAATCCTTTTTGAATAGTTGTCTAGAAATACATGACACGAACTGCACCCTACATTGTCACCGGCCTTCTTCAGTCTCCATTGCTTCCTCGCGTTGCATTGCTAAACGCGCCATCAAATCCCGCGCTGCTATCTTCGCCTTTCGTGTCTCGTCATCATTGTTAATACCTGAAGGCTTGATCTGCGTTGATGTCGGCAGATTCTCCTTCGTGGAGTCAATCTCATTATTCTGTGGTTGACTGCCTGCCTCTTTGTTTGAGTGTTGGGATATTTCCTCCGTCGTCATTGGCAGACTCTCTTCTGATGCGTTCTGATCCCCGTTCCTCGATGGGAAACTTCCGTTGCCAGACTGGCGCGCTGAAGGGGGCCTCGACTGACTGCGCAAGGTTCGTGAACGAGCGGAGCCCCGTTGCCTGGCCTCCAGTGCTTCGCTAGGGCTCGTGTTTAGTGGTATCTGTTCATTTTGACTAACTGTGCCAACGTTGCCATTTTGTTCGCTCAAGGGCGTCGGTTTGGGTGTCTGAGAAAAGTCCGGCTTGGCAGCCTGGCTGAATGATTTACGCGGTCGTCCTGGCCTTTTCTTCTCGGTGTTTCCCCGGGACGAAGGCCGGTCAGCCGAATGGGACATACGAGGCCGCTTGACCACAGCGGCCTGTTGCGTGTCCATTGTGCCTTGAGTGTCTTCGACCATGTTGTCGAAGTGTGGCGTATGTTGACGCGACCGAGTGACCTCAATGCGAAGTCTAGGCGACTCAGGTGGTATCAGGTGGCGCGTTGAGTCGGTTATGGCACGAACAGGCTCGGGATCTTTCAATGGAATTTTGACAGATTGAGCATGCATATCCGCGAGAGAAAAATCGCCGAATGTGTCATCTTCCTCATCGAACGAGTCCGCAATGGGCTCGGTGCGACCACTTGGGAACGAGTCAGGCCAGGGCCGTTTCCTACCAGCTTGAAGGAGCCCAGGACTCCGAACTTCTGGAATTACGGTCGTTTCCATGCCGAGAGTCGCAGTAGAGTGCCTTGTTGTCTGCTCCTCCATGTATCGATTCTTCAACTGGAGAGTCTGGATCTCCAACTTCAATGTCTCGATTTCTTCGGCTTTCGATTTGAGCTCCTTCAACACCGTCCTGATCATATCGAAATCGCTTCCGTGAGTACCGGAACTGTCAGAATGAAGGCGCCCAGGACCATTCAACTCTATCCGAAGTGATGTGAAGGAATGTTTCAATTCCGACATGGTATCGTGCAGGTTGTTAACGGAGTTGGAGATGTGATCAATGCTGACACCTTGATGCTGAATCTGCTGTTCCATCGACATGGTATTTCCGTCGACCTCGCAAGGACCGGAAGATATTAAAGCGCGACTGGTGGATGACTCTTTCGGAGTTGGACAGAGGAGACGTTCGAGGGAGCCGTCTTTAAAAAGGGGTTCAACCGTGCGCATGGTGACAATCTCCCTAAATGACACCTTGGATAGCTTCCAGAAGATATTAGGACTGTAGCCCAAGTTAGAAGGCGCACACTTGCACATGACCCTGCTTCTTGACTTTCGCACTCACCCATCGTCTAAAGCACACAGAACCCCCAGTTTCTGCTGACACAGCTTGCAAGCAATTTCCTGCAGGATACGTCCTCGCAAAAGGCTCATTTCAGAGTTCTGCGGCACCTGCTTCTTCTCCGTTGAGATCGAGATCCGGTGAAGTTCGACGCTCAGCCATCCTGTAGCGACGGCGTAAGAGTTGGACAGCCTGGCCCACTCATTTTCGAGCGCAGCTAGGGAGCTCGAACAGCGTGAGCACTGGCAGAGAATAGCAGGACGAGCGAGTTTGGACAGATCCATTCTAAAGATGACATTCAGCACAAGAACTGGCGACTGTCGAGAACAAAAGAATGGCAAGCCCACCTTGGGGTCTTGTAGTAGAGTGCCCACAGTGATCTCGAATGCTGAGTAAGGCGTTCCACTGACACGATGACGGGTCCAGCTATTCCTCTTCCGGTTCTCGATAAGGCTAGAACGCGTTTGGGGTGTTCCACTTTCATCATAGCGTTTCTACTCCTAACGGTCAATTTAATACCTACTAGTAATTAGTGGTTATATTACGGAGAGATATTCACTCCAATACCTTACTGTCTGGTCTCATCTGGATATTACAGTATGTGGCACTAAGGGCTTTCCGTTCATCCTCAGTTGCATTGGTTTCTATAATTCAAAATATCTTGTCATGCCTTCGTCGCTGGTGGAATGAAATGTTAATTTAACCACGGCACGAAAGTATTGTAGCATACCCTCCTTCCAAATTGACTCCGACTGACTCTCCAATGCTCTGAGGACGGATAGGTGTCAGGAGTCAGACATGGAAGTTGACCCCGCACGCTTCTGGTTCTTTCTGCCGCATCCGAGTGGGCGGGCACCGAATTAGGAGAAGATCAAAAGTCGCAACTCCGCATGGCTGCTTACCGATTGGACTAAATGCCTGAGCAGTTTCGATAAAAAGGCCTCAGATCCTCCTTGATGACCGCCGCTCTTCGCATTCTACGCCGGCAACTGCTTGCCTTCGGGTCACATTTCCCCGCTCAAAGGTTCGGACGCAATCGAGTATTAACCATGGCGAGCGCTTCAGCCAGTCTCGATGGGACCAATGGCAGGATCAGTAGTTGGCAAGGCGCTGGCGCAGCAGAATTCGACTTGCGAAGTGAGTTCATTGCAGTGCAGTGGAAGACACAAGGAACTAATATGGAAGCACACCCAAGGCGACACGATGACCAAGCCTACCCCGTCGATGCTCGAAGCAATTTGTCAGACTACCTTGTTGGACGACGTCTTGGAAGAGGATCCTGTGACAAATGACCTCCAAGCCTATGTTGCCGAACGGACCAACCATCAGAGCGCCTTACTCGTCATGTCGGGGACTATGGGCAATCAGGTTGCAATTCGGACACATCTCGTGCAGCCCCCCTACTCCGTTCTCTGTGATCATCGCTCTCACATCGTGTGCTACGAGGCCGGAGGCGTCAGCTCGCTGACTGGGGCCATGGTGCAACCTATCGTGCCTAGTAACGGTATTCACCTTACTCTGGAGGACATTCAAAAGCACGCAGTGCTCGACGAAGACGTACATTACTGTCCAACAAAGCTTATCAGCTTGGAGAATACCCTAGATGGCATGGTGATGCCTCTGGCCGAAGCTCGTCGGATTACAGAATGGGCTCATCAGAACGGAGTGAAGGTACATTTGGACGGCGCGAGACTCTGGGAAGCAGTGGTTTCTGGAGCCGGCAGCTTGCCAGAATATGCTGGCCTCTTCGACAGTGTGAGTCTATGCTTCTCCAAAGGCTTGGGCGCACCAATTGGGAGTATCATTGTCGGATCCAATGAATTCATCAAGAAGGCTCGTTGGTTTCGCAAATCCATCGGTGGCGGCGTTCGTCAAGCTGGAGTAATTGCTGCGGCTGCACGGGTGGCCCTTGATGAGACTTTCGGACCAGACCCCAACGGTCAGAAGGGTAAACTTCGAGAAACTCACATCAATGCTAAGAGAGTCGCCGAGATGTGGACTGCCCGTGGCGGCAAGTTACAACATCCAGTACATACAAACATGGTATGGCTGGACCTTGAATCCTCTGGTGTAGGTCCCAATGACCTGGCCGAGATCGGAAAGGAGATTGGTCTCAAATTACTCGGAGGCCGAATCGTTGTGCATTATCGTAAGTCCCATACAGCACCCAAGCAGCATTGATTGGTAGTTTCTGACTAGTCACAGAGGTTTCCGAGAGCGCGCTCAGCATATTGGAGCAGGTTTTCGATCGCGCTCTGAGTGGCGAATACCAGCGCAGCACAGATCAAAGTATTCCTTATGGAATGAAGCAGTGATAAAAACTTAGATACTTTTTTTTTTTTTTTTTCGTAATTGAGATCAGCACACTTTCAATCCAGCTTGTCGTAACCTAAAGACTTGTAAAAACAGAGTTGATGTGTCACATTGATGTTCCATGGATGACCCAGCCGCCAAATCACGAAGCAGTCCTATTGGACAGAGCTTCAATGGAGGGCCTCAGGAACTAGCCTTGTTGATGCCTTGTCGATGCCTGGGGCGTACTCGACTCCAAAATAAAGGCGGACCTTCACCCACAGCCTGGGAGCTTGTTTCTCGGACGACGACTTTTCTGCAGACAGCCTCCTGTCTCGTCCCTGTCGTTGGCTCCACCCCTATCAAGTGAAGGCCATCGCAGAACTCATAAGAACTTGATTGTGCAGTAAATGGCCGACGGGGAACAGCTGAGTGTGTGAGTTTCCGTGCAATGTCTCTGCGTGTGGCTGATCGCTGTTGTGGACTAACCATTGCCTATTGTACTTTAGACATAGCCCTCGTGCCTCAGATAGCCTCTCTCATACATAGCCTCTCATCGCCTTTTGACTCAATGGTCCCAGAAATCCATCCTTTCAATCTTCTGGATAAGAAATAACCCGCTTGTGATGAATAAGTGGATCGAGTGCAGTCTCGCATATCACTGTGCACCTGGTAGCCTACAAGGGATTTCAGTTTTTCTGGAATTCTAGATTCTATTTGCCTTGGGTGTCTCTTTCTTTATTCCTTGTCCTATCCGAATTCCCGCGTCTGTGGATTCGTTGCCTAGAAACACCCATTCGACGGGACCAGTCCTACATCGCCTGGAAAGAGCGTTTGGCCAGCCATATCTATTCGGGGCCCCCGAATCAGATTTTTTGGACACAATACTACTTTTTTGGTTTCAATTTCTGGATCTCCTGAAAGGTGAGAGGGCATTTCTCTCTCCTTAGGGAATGTGAGACGAAGTGCCAGGCTTCTAACATCGGCAGAAGCGTTTTATGAACTTGTATTGATTATTGGTTGGTTATGCAGACATAGTTCCCCACGCATCGGCTTTGATACCCCAGACAACCCAGTCTTGACAGTCTTTTCTTTTATAATTTGCGGTACCGAACCATTTCGCTCATTTTCTATTTCCTTCTTTTTCATTTTCTTTGTCTCTTTTGGGAGCAATCCTTCGTCATTCTAGATGGAGGCGACTCAGGAGTCGACTCAGCCATGTACAGATCCCCGCCGTATTGGTCGGAACAACTCTGGTCTGCTTGAGGACGATGTTTCAGACATCATCTGCATCTTGCATCCAACATCCCTTGCCGCCCATGAGGCAGTGGCCGCGACTGCTTCCCTTGCGCCTCAACACATCTTACAAAAAGATGAGTTGGAATACGAAGATCAGGATACCGCAGCTCTGGATATCGCTCTCAGACTATCCTCCAACGTCCGTAATATAAATTTAGGCTTTTGCTTTGGGCGCAACAGAAGCCGGTGCGACCTTCTTCTTGCCCCGGACGACAATGCGAAACGCATATCCAACACGCACTTCCGAATCCACCTCACCGGCGACGGAATTCTGATGCTGGAAGATCTCTCGACCAACGGCACCGTTGTAGACGATTGTCGTCTTCGCAAGAATCAAAAAGAGAACAGCCGCATGTTGACCAACGGCTCTGTCATACAAGTGTTGCGCGGCAACAACGCCTCTGATGAGGTAAGGTTCGTCGTCCGCATTCCGTCTCGGGATGGATATGCAATGCGATACACAGAGAATATGCTTCGTTACCTCGAACGAGTCCAGAGGCAACCAGCAGGTGCCATGCAGAAGAACCGTCAAGGCTCGGTGCGACCAAGTCTGGAATGGACAGTAGCCAATGCGTATGGAATGCACTGGACAGGTGGTAGCATGTACAATGTGACTGGCCAAATCGGAAAAGGAGCATTCGCAACTGTTTACAAGCTTGCCACAAAACAACACGGAGCCGTGTACGCCGCCAAGGAGCTCGACAAGAGGAGGTTCATGAAGAATGGGATTCTTGATCAGAAGGTCGACAATGAAATGAAAATCATGAAAGATCTGAAACATGTCAGTTTTGAAACCCTTTTATTTGGTGCAGGACTTTTAGGACTAATTACCACTCAAAACAGCCCAACATCGTACAATACATTGATCACCATGAACATGAAAGATGGATCTATATTATCATGGAATATGTACCTGGCGGGGAGCTTTCTACTTATCTTTCGACCCATGGCAAGATTCCTGAAGACATGGTCAAAACATTGGCCCGGCAACTCCTGCATGCATTGCAATATCTCCACAAACGCAGGATCACACATCGTGATATAAAGCCCGATAACATTCTGATCGCTTCGCTTGAGCCGCTGAAAGTGAAACTGTCGGACTTTGGACTGTCGAAGGTCGTTCAAGAGGAAACGTTCTTGAAGACCTTTTGTGGCACTTTGTTGTACTGTGCGCCGGAGGTGTATCCGGAATATGAGAACTATCGACGAGGCGAAGTCAGAAAAAGACGTCGATTGGGTGATCAGTAAGTCAACTTCTATCCATTGCGGGCATGGCTTATATTGAATCGTAGTCCTCCGAAAACGTCCCCATACGATCAGTCCGTCGATATGTGGTCATTCGGTGCGGTACTATTCCACATCCTTAGCGGTACACCTCCGTACACGGGTCGAGGCGACGACAGAGGGTCTCAGATGTTGCGGAATATCATGACTACCGAGCCTGATTATGACGTGCTGCGCAGAGAAGGTGTATCAGAGGCCGGTGTCGATTTTGTTAGGCGCCTTCTGAACCGTGACCCTCATGCACGACCGAAGGAAAGTGAATGCTTTCAACATCCGTGGATACGTGATGTGCCAGACGTTGACGAGTACGACGATAATGATATTCAACCCACGGACTTCGGGGCCCTGTCTGATATTGGTGAAGATCTGGAGAACGAGCTTGATGCGTCACAGATCTCGCTCAATGACAATCCAGAACCGGTTATTACCGGTGACGAAAGCCACGATTCCAACGATCTGGCACAATCCAAGAGGCCTAGGATTGACCATTTTCCTGCTGACATTCACTATCCATCACTCCCAAACATTGAAAGCTTCCCAGCTGCTCGGCCAATTCCTGAAACTACTCCGAGGCGCTTATTTGGCGAAATCACCTCTTCTGCCCTGCGCAGTTCCAATGTCTTTGGAGCCAGTATGAATGCCTTCGGCGGTGATGACCTTAGCGTTCATGACTTCGTTTCTTCAACCGGTGAGTCGATTATAAGCGACGGCAACAGCCTAAACTCTGTCCTTTCCCTTCCGGACAATCCCTTTGCTGGATCCGCGCCAAGCTTGATGGGAGCTGAGAATCTCGTTGGGCAGCTGAACATGAACTCGTGGCACCCTGGCACTTCGGCACACGGTCCCCCGGCGACCACCGAGCTGCCGGCTCTGAAGACTAGCGTGGATGAAGGAGTCGATGGAAGTCCTGGCCTGGAACACGACAAGGAAACACACCCGAGGACTGCGACACCGAAGGGAGCCAAATTCAGCCGCCGAATTGAGTTACCACTTCCCGATACCGCTAGTGAACGTTCCAGTCGGGAGGTCACCAGAGAAAATAGCAAAGCCCCCTGTGATAAACCCGAAGCGACTGCCGGTGAGGTTTTTGACATTGAATTGGCGGTCACGATCGACGCTCGAACGGGCCGACAAATCTCACATCCACCAGAAGACCTAGTGAGCGACAATATCTCAGCGGCCCTGCGACATGAGATGCCTACTGAAATTCCTCCGACCATCTCTCTCCACCGGCATGAACAGTCTCGTCCGCTTCTAGGAAAGCTTACTTCTCTCCCGGGATCGATATTCGACCTGACGATCCGCTTGGAAGATCGAATGACATCCTGGGGGCGCGGTCCTCAAGCAACCATCTGCCATCCTGACCCTATGGACACGCGGATTCCTGCATACGCACTGGAAGTGACTTTCTGGGCGCCGGCTATTGAGGCGCAGATCGCGGCAGGGCGCAACTGGATGGAGGTTCCTGGAGTAATGGCTATTCTTTCAACCAAGACTCGCAAGTGCATCTGGGTCAATGACACAGAACTGCGCCGTGGGTCAGAGGGAAGCAGCACTCGAGAGGGATTCCACTTTGGGAAACTGTACACCGGCGATATCATCACAGTCTACAGACATCGCAACAAGTTCTTGAAGTTTCAGTGCGAATTCTACCATGGAGACAGCGCACGCTCGCGACCGGAGGAGGAAAAGGGCTTCGTGGTGCGCAAGGTGTTGATGTCTAAGGAGGGCGCGGCTGCCAATCGACCGCCAGTGCGCAAAGACAACGATGGGGGGAAGAAGCACGGTCTGAATGTAAGATGAGAAAGGGCACTTGGGTTAGGTAGATTTTTGATGGTCGTCTGATTCTTTTTGGAGGATTTATTGCGCAGCTATTGTTAGCTATATTGTTAGCTGTTCTCTCTGTGGCTCTATTGTGGCACACCACCCTTCTGCGAGGTTTCTCATTGGGGATACCGCGGCAGAGGTCTGCATCTGAGTTGAGTATACGGTGGCATTGGATCGAAGTTCTGGGATATCCGTAAATGAGTTGAAGTGGGCAAAATGCTTACTGCTTCTCGATCATATTGACACATGAGAATGAATGGGTTCTTCTCCTGTATCCTGATGTACTATCTCTGCAGGTATGCCAAGCCACGCTCTTGTCGATCATCACTTTTGTAACGAATGAAGTCATAGGCACTATTCCTAAAGAGATAATTCAGGGTCCAATGAACTTACAATAAATGGGCGAGTATGGTAATTGTATGATAATTACCATTTACCTAATTGTAACACGATCTGTCGACAACGCAAGCTGCAAACTTCCATTGCTTCAACAGTCTAGGTAGTATGGAAGATTCCCATCTCTTAAATCACTCAAGGTCTATGTTATTCATCACGGATACCTTCTATTAGAATATGCCTTTCTTAATTATTGTCCTTTAGCTGTCATCCATAC